ATCATTCCAGCACAAAAATATGAATCGAACATTCGCGTACCGTCCGTTGCACGAGAGTTGGCAGTAATCTGAAATGCGCGTCATTAGTCGGTTTTCATCTTTTGTCAGCCCATTTTCAATACTAATTTGCTATTGATCTATACGATTACACGTAAACAATCAAACCTACAAACAAAGCCCTGTGCTGACTCGACTGTCAATTCTGGTGCAACAGATGGTATCTTTGAAGTGTAGTGATACGTCAGTCTGTAAAAGTTTACTGGTCGCGTAAGCATCGACAAATGTTACAATTCTCAAAGTATAGTTGCGCACAGGTAAGTTCCGCTAATAAATTCAGATAATCTGCATCTACTTTAAAATTCCCAATAACTGTTTACAGCAAATATAACACAATGATCAATCATAACACAACTAATTAACCTTTCGAAGTTCTATATCTGTTCAAACTCGACTTACGATTTTCCTTAAATTGCTACACATTTTAATAATTTTCATTATATTTAATCATGATGCAATAATAACATCGTATATAAGAACAATTTTATTGCTTCCTAAATATTTTTAAAGCAACTAGGAAAATGACATAATAAACTATTATATAATTGAATGAAAGAACATAGATACAGAAAACACTCCGAATTGCATCGAGTTGCAGATTTCAAAAGCCCATTGAATAGCTGTGGATCAGAATTTTTCTTATTAATAGTACTATCTTTATCACACGGAATGTTCAACGAGTGGGATGTCTTAAAGAGAAATGCTCTTTATCTCCGAACAGCAAGCAGATTTTGCTCAATGAAGCTGTTTTTAACAAACTCCAAGAAGTTTACATACTTAACACGCGTTTCGTTCATGTCTAGTCGTGTCTTCGTGTAAGATTTTGCAACGCGCACTCTACTAACTTGTCTACTTAGTTAAAAATAGAAACGCCGGTCTATGGAAGCGTACTGAAAACTCGGTGAAAATCGTCTCTACTCGGCCGCAATCTCTGATACATGGTTCGGTAGATTATCTAGTTTGCGCTTCGCAGAGGCGCCCACGAGGTGAAATGACTGTGAAATTGTACCTATAAAAAGAGGATGTTTTTTTAAATTATTCTCGCGAAGATCCATCTTGGAGCAGTGGTACATGGCGAACTAGGTTCGACTTACAAAAGGTAAGGTATAATAAATTAAATAAAGTAAATCCTAAAAATTCTACCTAGGAGTCAGTTGCATATTGAATTTTGATAAATGATACGTAAGTTGTTAAAATGTAATATTGTGGAATAAATTAATTTCTAATAGATAAATAAATTTTACCGTGTAACAGGTACGATTCGGATTAAAATTTTATTAAAACTTCTGATAAACTATCATTCAAAATTTTACCTTCTCGGAACTAAGATTTTTTAAAATGTTAAAATCTCTACAATAGAAAACTAGATTACGTATCATATTCGTAAATATGCAACAAAAGCTGTGTACAGTGATATTCACTTAAATTTAAAAATTTCCGGACCCAGCATTAAAATTCTAGCAAGCAGGGAGCCTTTTGTAATTTTTAATTACATAATATTAATAATTTGTAATTTTAACCTTACCTTCTCAAATGTAGTACCGATAGGTTGTTAAAATTTTCCTGATTAAAATGAGTCCAAACACGAAGTAAATCAGATTAGTTTTCACGACTTAATATAATTAACGAAATTAAAGATTCATTTTTTCTAAATCAATATAACTAGACCGATTTATGTCGTGTTTAGAGTCCTTCTAATCACAAGAATCTGAATAGTTCACTGGTATTACATCTGAAAAGGTAAGACTAAAATTAATAAAACTAAAATTTTCATCAATGCACGACTGCTGTTTACGTTCGCGGCACCTTACTGACGCGTGTCTGTTTTCCTTCCGCTTGTTGTATTCATTTTTTGTCTCTACTACTGGGATCACGTTACACTGAGCTGGTGACAGTAAATAGTGGAGAAGAGTGGGGATGGTATGTTAAAATTTAACCGAGCAGATTCCTTTAAAATTTAAGCGAGCGTCACTGCAATGTGCTTCCGTTGTTTAAATAACTAAATTACTTGTTTTTACTTTGTATTTTAGATTAATATGTAACCTACCAGAATTCTTCTCAATGCCTGTGACATATTTAAACGCAAGTGAATAATGTGTCATGAAACAACAGTTTCATTAGAAATAATGACGTTACTTCAGATAACTTGTACATTCATGATTTTAATAACTATTAAGAAATCCTTAAATGTAACTCGTCAGTTCTTAAAAGATAATTATATAATACTCATTAAATAAACTATCAATGAAATGCAGCCGCTAATCATGTAAACATTGCGTTTAAATGAATATTACAAAATAAATATGATGAATATTGTTAATGCGAAATATGAATCCAATGATACAATAAAATCATAATAAATATTACTAGTTGAAGATATGCAGCAATATTGCAGCAATTTCTGAATTTACTAGTACCAGAGGATACTTACTACAATTTACGTAAGTGCAGTTCAATGAGCAGTCTATCATTGACCTTACCAACCGATAATTATTAAGAACGGGGAAATACCGAAGAAGAAACTAATTGCCTGGAAATGATTGATAAATTATCTCATTAACCACTGTTTTGAATAAACAACATTTTATACTACTACAACCTATCATTATACTTTACACTTCGTAATAGTATTTGCATACAACGTAAAGTATTAACTCTTTATGCGAATAAAGCGGTTGTTATCGAAGATATCGCTGTGAATGGTTAAACAGGCATACATTAAATTAAATATAAAATTTATTACAATTTTGTGTGTCCATTTAGTATGTATCTGGAACAGGCTATAACCCTGTTCTTGTTGAAGTTGGAAAAAATCGCAAAGGAAAACTTTCCACTATCTGAGAGACTGTCATAACACAATACCAGTTTTTTCATAAATGCATCGATGCACTTGAAAAGTACAATTGCACCTTTTTTTAAATAAAATGCGAGTTTTCGATTAATTCGCAAAATTATATTTTTTTTATAAATAAAAATGTTTAATGTAAACGGAATAAATGCAATATAAAAATTGGTGGTAAATACAGGTCACAAATAACTCATTTCCGCCGGCGTACTGTGAAGTTGGATATTTGACTAACTAAGTAATACTACGTTTGTAGCGTTGAAGTAAGGCCACGATAATAATAGAACCTTGAAAACTTCATGCAACCTAGAACCATTTCAATTGCATACGATTTTTTTCGTTGCATGCATCTTTTTATGAAACATTTTTGCTAAATATTGTTTTGGTGGCTCACGTTGACTAATTTATTTCCTTATAAGTCGATTAGCCATTTTGTTTATTAAAGTGTTAAAAATAAAAATAAGTAGAATTATGCCGTTTATTTTGAAAGTGGACTAAATCATATCTTTTTAGTTTCAACATATTTGAAGATTTGTATTTGAATAGTTTGAAAAATATTTTTATACCATGTAACAAAATGTTTCAAAACATATTTGGCCTTGAAAAATAAGAATTTATTATGACTGTGTAATGTTATATGGAACTTATAAGAAAATATGATTTGTGACTTAAAATGACTTACACCATTTTAAAAATTATCATATTCGATATTTTCGAATTACAGAATCAAACCTCGAAATCAAAAGATTGATCTGTTCTTCGTTTAAATTTGTACTTTTTATAAGATAAATGTTCAATGATTCAAAGAACTCAAAAGAAAAATAAACGAAAATGCATATCTACTCGAAGACAGTATACCACATTTTTTATTCGCTTTATCAAAATCTGTAATTTAAATAAAAACGTTGATTGAAAACCTATAACTTTATATTTTACAAGAGCAGTATCATCGCATAATACTTTAGAATCAAAAGATAAAATAACATTTATTCGAACTCAACAGAAAAGGAAACAAAGGACATATTCCTGAAAAATACAAATTCCTGATTAAATCATTGATCTCAAAGTGAGAAGGCACGCCACATTTTTCATTCGTTTTATTAAGATCCACGGATGAAAAATCAAAGATGTTGATCGAACAATTGTAACAGTATGTCTCACAAATATTTTTGTGGAACACTACTGCGTAGTATGATCCGATAATACTCCACATTTTTCTTGCGCTGTATTTTCCGTTGCATTCGAAGCCACTCAATATTTACCATCCACTTCTACCAAGTGTAAAAAAATCATATACACTTCATGAAGCACGTATCATTCGAATTACCCATCCTCCGCCGGCGAAGTATTCTCGATTTTTCACGCGATTTTTCAAATCACGCTTGTTCCGAGAACGATAGCGACCAATGTTTTTCGCTGCGTCGTCGTATTGCGTGTCCTATAAGGAATATTCCTTTGAAATTGTTGCGTGAATTGCAACAGTGTAGCAACTTGTTTACAGCGGCAGATAAGATAGCAGCAAACTACGTAGCAGAAGCTAGTTACAGCATTAATGGTTAAAGTTTTTCCTGGTGTTCGCGAACCGATAAAAACCCGATTTCCGGACTGGACACACGATGATCGCGCGATCGAGCGCGCGCCGAAGGGTTTGGTCATCGTCCTGGAACGATATTTCATTGCGGCCGGTGGCTGCACCTGCCGCAGGTGCGGCCGCGATCAAAATAAGAAATTCAGGAACCGTGGTTCGCAGATTTGACTAGCGAAAAGAATGACCGCTATCGTTGCGCCCGATCCCAGCTTCGAGGGATTAAAATTATTAATCATTTCGTTGCATCTTCCTCGATCGCTGCTGCGGTCGCGATCATCTTTCTTTTCGTTATGTACAGCCGTAAATTGCGTCGCGCATCGAGCTCAGTTTAATTGGAGCGTTCACAAATTTTCCGGATATGCAAATGTCTCTTCAACGTTGCGGTCGGTGGAATAATTATTACGTTCGCCGAGATGACAGTAAAATGCCGAGTTACCGATGCTAGGTGCTACTCATTAACAATGTCTAATCAGCGGTGCGTGCACAGTACAATTTTACAACTTTTTACCATACTCCGGGTCACGGTTAGGTCTGGGTCATTCGCGCGGCCGCTTACGCAAAAGCTTCCAGTAGCGTTTGCTGAACGGCTCGGACACAGTTTTTAATACTCAACGATTTAGATAACGTTGGAAAATGTAGGGGTACTGTTCGGGTTAGGTTACGGCATCTACATGATACTGTTTTAACAGAACGCCACTGAATATTTACTTTTTCTTTAGTTTACTTTCCTATGTTAATATTTACTTTTTCTGTAGTCCACTTTCGTATGTTAATCGCATTCTTTTTCCACTCTGCGTGTGATTTGAAAGACCTTGTCAGCTTTAATGCACAGCGATATAAATTCATCGATGCAAAGTAACCCAGTATATTTACCTAATTATTTTTATACTTTCTGCTATTTAATTGAATTTTTTACTCGCTCGTTTCAAGGTCACGAAGTTATAGCTCAGGAAACTTGTTTTGATGACTATAATGTTACAGTATAAGAAACAGATGGAAAGCAAGATGACAATAACGTTCAACACGTTCACGACAATATAAATTCTTCTTAATCAATTTTTTTTTTTACTTTTAATAGCAGCGGGAGTAATTCAGATGTTTAGCTTGAGACAGGTGTTCCTATTTATAAGATCTTCAAACCGTATAAAAATACATATTGAAGAGGAGAATTTGCTTTCCTACTTCTGAAAACTGCACTTTTGTTCTTAGAACTTGCAGTGCTTGCTAGAAACACGATCCCAACATAGGAAGATGGTAAACATTGAATTTATACTAACTCTTATCTAATCTTTCGTTTTCTGTCATTGTACAAGTTTCCTAAGAAGTTACATACCTGAAGCATCACGTAAATTTCAACGTGTTGCTTAGTAGAACACTTCTCAAAATTTAATGATCATATTACAGACATCGTCGAATTTATTTTGATATTACCATTAACTTCTCAATCGGTTAAGAAAATTAATTTAAAAAAATTAAAAATCGTTTCATTTCTGTTGAACGAATAATAACACAATCGATGTTAGGTGTTGCTAATGAGTTTGGCGTGTGCATGATTTGCGTATATTTTGTACTTTACTGATGTATGGTTGTATGTTATATATTATTCTGTTCTGTAAATTCGATTTGTATATTTATATATTTGTTTATTAAATAATTCATAATTCATATCACACTTCGTAATTTTAGCAGTTTCAAAAAATTCTGGTCTCAGTTCTTTGTTAACTTCTAATCCGTTAATGAATAAATACTATAATAAATAATATAAATAAATAATTCTAATGTTGGTAAAAAGAAACAGATCTTCAAAAAACTGAAGATAAGTTTGAAATCTTCGAAGCCATGACTACTAAGAAGAAATCGAAATCGAAAAATTATTTTCTGGTCCAACATTGTACAACTTAATGATAATAAAATCAATTACTGATATATTTGTCGCAAATATACTACCTTTTAACACTACATCTATTAGCACAGTTTTCGTGACACGACTCTTCACAAAGATTGCATTAAACCCAACCTTTTGAAAGTGGGTAGATAAATGTTTCACTGCAATAAATGCAATATTACTCTTTGAAAGATACTGCACTTAAGTTATTAATTCATCCGTCCTTATTAACCTTCATCCTTCTTTTAATAGAATCCTTCTTTCCCCTATTCTTTAACTTGTTTTGTTGTTTTTCAACAAGTATCATTTTATTGACAGGTCATGTCAAATGTAAAACTGATTTTTTTAACTATTCGACAAGTAAGTCTTCTTTCTACGGTTGTAAGAGGTATGCGATAATTTTCCGGAGCTTGACATGTGGTCAGTTCTTTGGAATTAACTCTTATTATTATATCTTTTATTTTTTCTAAGCTTCGTGATCACTGATTTGAGTTTTTTTGTACACAAAAAAATGAGGGAACACAAAGATCCGGTTCGCCCTGCCTGATTTGATCCGAATTTCCGTTTCGGAGAATTTCAAAGTAAATACGATAAATGAACAAAATACAATATAATAATCAAAAGTACATTAAATACTGAATTTGGACACCTTAGAGACTAACAATAATAAACACATTCGAATGTTCAAGCTTAGCTTGCCATTTTATATGTGCAATCCAACAACGTATTTTAGACTAGTCACGAATTCGTTACAAACAACGGTTTGAAACAATTAAATCTGTATCGGATTAAGTGTAAGGAAGATGTACGAAGTAATATAGATGGTCAGCATGCTCATATCCGTAACAAAGTAACAAATATGACCAATATTTTCATTTTTATCCGATTGGCCCCGTGATTCTATTCGACTCGGTCTACCCTAAATGATCCTTTAGGAGCTACGCGGCGTTCACCTGAATCAATTTTCGGTAGCGTCATTCCGTTACAAAGTTATCGAAGTGGATGCAATTACGTGGCTCGCTTTGTATAATGCTCTTAGGTGCTGCAACATCTCCGTTGCATCCAGCGCCAAGAATAAATACTACCCGGTCAGGCATGTATGCGCGTCACTCGCCTGACCTAGTTTAATCCGAGATCATCCTTCTGTACTAATTAAGTAGGTACGTCCGCTTTATTAGCAGACAGTGTGACTCGACAATGACGCCTGATAACGCGCCAGGGTGGACAGCGTCGAAAGTGACGCGGCAACGATGGAAGGGAGGATCGTGAAAGGCCGGATAAAAATGGCCTTTGTGCGATTTTTAACCCTTTTCCCATCAAAAGGCAAATGGTCTTTTTTTCGTAAACACACTTTACCCGTCGTCTTTGTCGTTTTTCTGGCGGTATATTTTTGAACGTCGAATCTTTCATACCCAATAAGATAGAACTTTGCAAATTTATAAGATCGTACTTGACGAATTTTTGAATTTTTTAAACGCTTGCACGAAATTTTTTTACGGGAAACGTTTATAATTAGAAAGGCAATGCACCGTTATGCACGACCCCGTGCCCTTTCTTTGGTCTCAAAGTAAATACAGCGAGCGATGTTCGGTCATTTATTTCTATAAGATCATTTAGATCTTCATATATTCTGTTAATCAATATCAAATAATGAACAAAATTACGAAGTGTCTCGTACTTGTGGCTCTTCGTAAGGCAGATTATAAAACAAGAACATAGATATCGTAACTTTGTCCAAATAACATGATCGCAATGATATAGTTGTTAAGGTCATTAAATTTCATTTTTTAATTCCTATAAGAATATGCAACAAATAATATAAAGTCCTATTTAAAAAAGTAATGATACCTTTAAAATCTCGAAAAAATAACGTCATAAAAACATTTTTCACCATCGTGTTTATCACTTCGAATAGTGTAACTTTATTCTAAGAAGTATTTTTTTAATTACAAATATTGGAGATATTTAAATGTTCCTATTTAGGCGAGACACCTTATATAGTATTTACTTCATTGAACGTTTGACATTGATCGCTAACTAGAAACGTACAGTATAATCAAGCTGAATCTTTGATTTTGATCCTTCAGATAAGTTTCATCTCTTTTGGTTTTCTTTTAATATCCATAGTTAAACCATAAATATTAAAGTAATTGTTTGCTAGAACGTTGTTACATAATGTTTTTGCAAAATCTTGAATTACTTTTTAGTTAGTCATGTATGAGTTGTAGATTATAATGCTTTTATTCTGAAAATCATCATGGGGAACAAAAAGTTATAGCATCTTTTCAGAATAACTGTAGATATTTTGACCACTTGTTATTGGAGGCTAATTCACATCTTTTACGTCTTTGTTTTAATTATCTTTAACTATCTTACTTATATCTCATACAGCCAATTAAACTTAGTTCATTCAATATGACACCAAGATGATAAATGTCAAAGTTTATATTACGAATTAATTATGTTAAAAATCACTCCAATTCGGGTGACATAGCAATCAAAGTGTTAATTCAGTCGGTTGTTAATGTTTTACACGAACGCTCGAAGTATTGAGGTTTTCTTATATAGTGTGTGTAATTTGTAATTATTTATATATGTATATTTATCTCATTATTCACGCTTACTACAAAATCAATAAACATACGTCCTCAGGCTATTTTTTTATTGATATCTTTAAAAGATAATTGACGGCTAAACCAACTGTAAACAAATGTTACTTCTGTTTTCGCTCTGTCCTATGAAAG